TATAAAAAGATATTAAAATATTCTAATCAGTGTATTGGTTCAAAAACAATGTAGCTATTTGACTAATGTAGCTAAATGTTGTACGACAATGTACCTAAATGTTGTATTTAGGTAATGAAATATGAAATTGATAATTTAATTAAGTAATTTATTTCTTACAAAATAACTATTGTAAGTTATTTAAATTAAATTAAAATTTATCTTATTTAGTTTGATATTTATAAGTTATTTCTAACACATTTCCTAAGAAAAGGTATTGTTTTAATTATAATTTGTCTAACTTTAAAACATTACCAGTCACGTTAACGAAAGTTCTTTTAAAAAAATTGCATAGTCTCTGTCTGAAAGATAACTGCTAAATAATGCACACTTGTAGCTAAAAACTAAAATATTTCAAATATGTTTTTGCATTAGTTGAATAAGACTTGTATATTCGACATCAAACCTAATATGAACAAATTTATGCATAGTTTATACTTGTATATTTATGGGATTTTTTACTTCTATATTGTAATTCGATGATTTTAAATTTATATTAAAATCTATATTGCCACAAATTTGTATGATTTCCCAGTTTTTCAGATTAATTTATTAACTTAATTTTGATTTATCTAATTCATTTATAAGTTTAGTAACATCTCATAAATATAGTATATTTTTTTCCATTTTAATTCTTTTAAAACTTATGGGATTTGAAATTATATCATCAGTTATACATCAAGTATATAGAGATATTCCGCTTGAAAATTCCATTTTAAACATAAAACCTCAAAGTCGGTATATTAACGTATATTTTTTTAATTGTAAATAATTGAAAACGCAGTTTTAAGTTTTGCATTTTTCTTGCTTAATATTTTTCTTTGATTAACTTCTAAAACTTTTATGAATACTATTCAAAATTGGAATATTTAGTATTTTATTTTTAAAACTAATATAAAGTAAATACTATGTTTAATAAATTGTTACGATCGACGCCTTTATTATTCTTTTAATTTCATAAATGCTTTAATTACTCAATAATTTTTTGCAGCATGAATTTTTTTAAAAAAAGAAATCAGTCTTACTGAAATATATGTTTCAATAAAGTATGAAAGTTAAATTAATTACAAGAACTAACTTATAAAAAATTACTTATAAAATTATTAATTTATTAATTATAAAATATTTTAAAAAATTGTTGAATTAAGTTTTTAACAAAAATAAATATTTTATGAGGGATATGAATGAAATAAAATTGATAAAAGAAACGAAAGGAATAATTCAAAGAAAATGTTTAACTTTATACTATTTTAATCTTGACATTACATAAGGTGTTACACTAGTATCACCCTTAATTTAAATTTATTTTTAAAATTGTCCTATATTTTACCCTATTCTGGTAGTTTTTAAAATTATTTTTTTCACAATGTTGTATGGCTTTTTTCATCAAGTTAAAATTTAGTTATACTTCTAGTTAATGTAAAAATAAACAAATGTCTTATACTCCATTGGTAACGTTTCAATTACAACTCTATATCAGGAATAGAACAGTCATTTTAGCGCATTTAACTTAAGAACAAGTCATGTAAAAAATTGAAGTCATTTTCTACTTAGGTGAACAAAGAAAGATTTTATTTTAGTTACTTTTCATTGAATAATTACAATTAATATAAATATGTATATACATATGACTAAATCACAATATTAAGTGGAAATTCTCTCTCTCACACACACTTTCCCTCTCTCTCTCTCACTAATTTATTCACATCTTTCATTTTCCATTTTTTTCCCTCCTTGACTCTGACTAGGACCCAGAATGAAAAAAAAGACAGAGAAAAAGAAGTTTTTTTCCAGTGATTTACTTGCTTCGCCACTGACGCTATTTATTCCTAAATTTATACCCTGCTAAATATCTTATATAAGAGAATTTTTTTCTTCCATAAAAAACTAAAATTAATCACTTAAATTAAATTAATGAATAAATATTTGAAAAAACTGTATTAAACATCAAGTGTCGTCCAATACAAGTTTTAAAAAATGTCTTTGAACTTGAGTGGATGAATACAGTATTTTTTTAAGTATTTAAGTATTTTCAAGTATTTTTTTAACGATTGAAAATTTGAACAAGGTATATAAATATATGTAGGGAGAGCGTGAACTAATTGTAGGAATTGAATACAATCTTAAATTTTTTAAAAAAAACTTACTCTATTTTTTTAACTTCTGTTAAAAAATAAAGAGGAATCTTTAAATTGTATTAATCGTCATTATTGGATTTGCATTTTGCACGTTGATTTTATTATCGAAATTGAAGGACTCTATTAACGAAATGACGTTGTTTGACGAAATTGAATGCTCTATAAAAAGAAAGGAGTTAACCTGGACACATATCACGATTTAACACAAAATAGTATCCGAAAATCATTTTTCATTGGCGTCGGTGCATTCTCATTGTTCGAAAAATCCTTAATCGTCTACTACAGAATGTTTAATTTTTAACTGCCATCAGCTTAAAATTAAGGAAGGAAGTAACAGTATTTTTAATTAATTAATTAGTCAGAACTTATTAAACGGTATTATTACCAGTACTTTATATTTGCTTACTAGTCTAAACATTTGTTTTCTTATTCTTATTTAAAATGAAAAGCTTCACACTTATTTTTTTTATTCATCACAGTATTAAATTATTACTTAATCCAAAACAGTTTATTAAAAATATTTTATTGCTGTTTCAAAAATATTAGGATAAAAAAAATTTAACTCTATTAAAAGTATTGTAATTCACAGTGAAGTTTATGTAAAACTGCATCCAAGCAACATATTCAATAAAAATTAATGACTTTGAAATAGCTATATAAAATTGTAAAGCAGTGTTAGGATTTAAAATTTAGCATTATTGTTATATAATATCTTTGGCAGAAAACATTTAATGAGTCCTTATAATGAGCTAAAATGACTGAGAAAGCAAGCTTAAGTGACATGTAATAATAACCGAGCATTATTATGCTTAAATTGTTATCCAGGGGAATTGAAAAGGAAATCTATATTAATACAATAAAATATTTGAGCTTTTTAAATTGAACGAGCTTTAATTTTTAAGTAACAGTTTGCTCATCACCAAAAAACAAAACTAATTGTAAAGCTTTCACTACAGTTTATTTAATGAAAAATAACTTCTTGGCTCTGATTGGTGAAGAGTTGTAAAAATAAGTTTCATATTAGGGGATAGTATTCAAAGAAAGAGTATATAGTGTTAAAATAAAAATAGAAAAAAAAATTTAATTATTCATTATTTTAGAAAAAATTATCAAATTGTCTCAACAATACATTACAAATTTAAATTTTCCAAAACCTCTGAAATCCATTAATACGCAAAATAAATTTAATATTTTTTTAAGATGTTGTCAAAATCTCTTAAAATTTTCTTGTTGCGTAGTGTCTCGTATAAAGTGTTGAAGGAATTCAAACGTATGAATGGACAATTAGACAATCAAAACAGAAGTCATACAATAAAACATTAGAGGTTACAAATTAATTAGTTGAGATAAAAGCGTTTCTAATTTCTGAAGAAACATTATTGAGGAGCAAAGGAGAGCTTAAAATAAATCAAGAACCAATTTAGTTGTCTAGCGGAACTAGAATCCGTCTGACTAACGCTAGAAACCGAAAAAAAATAAAACCTGGAATAAACTTGATTTATATGATTTCATTTCCTCATTTGATTTTATTAACTCTATAATCACCAATAAGGAACATAATGGATATTTCTTAATGCTTTTAACGTAATAATTTATTGCGATTCAAATAATACATATAAGAGATCATTACGGAAAGTCTGTATATAGTGTTACAGTAACAAAGAATCAAAGCTCAACTTAGATAATGTTACATATATTAAATATATGTAAATTTAAATTATTGGGTTTCTTTACTAAAATTATTATTGAATAATTAAACGCATCATTGTTAATCGTATTTTACGTTAAATAAGCTTAATTTTCTTAAGTCAGTCAATTACAAATTGAGTCAAGAAGTTTTGCAAACTGTGTTCAGTTTCTTAAACACTCTTTTTCAATTTCATTAATACCAATATAGTATTTTTATAATAATATTCTTAGATCTCTATTCACAAGATAATTCTCAAATTTTAAGTCAATAAAAAATACTGTTACAAATATGATCGGCAAAAAAAATTTTTTTAACTATTAGTTCACTGGTATATAAAAATGACTAAATTCAAATATTTAAACATATCGTCGTAAATCAGTTTCGTTTAGACTCTTTTTGTTCGAGATAACTTTGCAAAATATCATTTATTTTCTAAAATTTGGTTATTAGTATACTAAAATAGAGTCATTAGTGTAAATCTACTATTTATCGATCATATTCTCCTGATATTCATAGTTATCATGAATATATCGTAAATAGACAACAGGTATATACATGTTTGTTATATTAAAATAAGCTATAACAAAGCGATTCAACAATTAAAAATTTTTCCTCTTTCATTAGTTTTTGTAAAGAAATAAAGATCCCAACAAAATAAAACTTATGGGATTGTGCCACTGTTCTTACTTCTGGAAAAACTCGTGTATTCAAAATTATTTAAACAGCCTTATTTTAATAGATTTATTTAGATAACACATATTACTAATTTTGTTATGAAAAGCGATTCAATAAAATATTTTTTCTTCTATCATTATAGTTTTTGTACAAAAAATAAGGATCCCAACAAAAATAAAACTTGCTGGATTTTGCTCCTGTTGTTACATCTTGAAAAACTCGTGTAATCAAAACTACTTGAATAACACATATTATTATTTAAATAACGCTATTTAAATAGCATTATTTAAATAACATATATTATTATTTAAATAATATTATTTGGATAGCATTATTTGAATAACAAATATTATAAATTTTGTTAATATATTAACAAAATCAGTTATAACAATGTGTTTCAACAAAAAAAACTTTTTTTCTTTCTATATAAATAATGATCCCAACAAAGAAAAACTTACCGGATTGTGTCACCGTTCTTACATCGTGAAAAAATCGTGTAATCAAAACTATTTACAAACATACATTGCAGAACAAACGACAGGACGAGTCATTTCTTCTGAGTCTAAAAGAGGAGTAAGATAACTTCTCCATGTGCTCATCCTGGTCGCACTTTCAAGCTCCAATAACTAACACGAAGGGCGCTGATGTCGCATAATGCTATTGGTCGCCTGGAGACAGAAGTTCGGGCAAGATAGCACAGCCTTCATGCGTAATGAACGTTTTTTGAAATTGTGAGAAAGGAAGAAACACACCTTAATAGTTTCATTTGGATAAGAATAGTACTTCGATGCCTCAAACGAGTTTCTTTTAAACTTTTTATTTTCGAACCATTATAAATTTAATAGGAAAGAGACTACGTTGTTTGGTTAGTTGTTGAAGAAATAATTTCTTTTTTTATTTATATATATCTTAAATTTTAACATTCGTATAGTTGAGATAAAAAATTCTACACATTTTTAATTTTATTTAGGACATAATGATAAAATAAATACAGAAAATTTTAGATTGTCACAGAGAACTTTATTTTATATGACAGAAAATTAAATTATTGATGAGACTGATAAACAAACTATCTATATCTGGCATGGTGCTTAGATTTTCTTGTGTAATTATTTATTCTGATTTCAACGTCAAGTCAGATTTATAAGATTACATTAATTTTCATGGAACGCCATTTAATTTGCATTGAATACTGTTTAAATATTAGTAACTTTAATGGAATACTATTTAAATTGTATTAAGTTTGAAAAAATACTGTTTAGATTTTATAAATTTCAATAAATTATTTGTTTCAAATTAAAATATTGAATAATAATTTATGGTGTTATTTTTTCCGATTAAACATTTACTTATTATATAATGGATGAATTAATTGTATGATTAATGATTTAATAATGGTTTCGTAATTATACGATATGAGGCTTCACAATAAAAAAAATAATTTTATCTAGATCTGGCTAACCATGAAATAAGTCATGGCACAGATTTATCCAGCCATGAAAATGTGAGAAAGCCAAGTGCTTTCGATGGTTCCCGCTATTTAAACAGGGATATTGAAAGGTAATTGGTTGCAAGAATATCTTTAACTTAATTAAGCGTCATTAAATTGGAAAGTTTTGATTTTGATAATAATAATAGTACAGCTAATTATTATTATTATGCTAGTACAACATTTATTAAAACATGCATCATTACATAATTAGTTTTTAAATTACTTACTATCCTTGCTCTGCAATGAAGATTTAGGAAAATTTAAGCATTAAAGAATTATAATTTTTTTGTATGATTTTTTGGATAACTTTTTTCCATTTTGTTTCAATTTATTTATTTTTATTTTTTTTATTTTATTATTTCATTTAATTTTTGCGTATTTAAAAAATAAATAAAATAAAAAATAAAAAATGTTGTTGGTCTACATTTTTTGGAGACTTTCCACTTGTGCCCTGTTAACCGAAAAGTACAATTTTTTCAGTGTAACAATTTTGGGTTTTTATTCCTTGATATATTAATTATATAAGTTTAGATAAATATGTTTTGTAACATGTGCTTATTTTATATGCTGATTCTTGGTGTCCTTCACGTTTTTGCAAAAGCTCTAGCCATTCTGTCTTTGTCTTTATTTTATCTGCAATAAAAGATAAGGTAAACATTTTAAAAGAGTTTTAAAAATGTTTTCAAAAAAGTAAATAATTTTAATATTTTCTATTTCGGCTGAAAATATAAAGTTAAATCGTTGTATCTCAACCACAGTGATGTAGTCGGAATAAATTTGCTCTCGAAACAGCATTTTTTCATGAAACATTTATTTACAAAAACTTATACAACAATATATCCTGAAAACATTAATGTATTTGAGATTTAGGTTGTTTTGATCCATATCTAATTCAATGATGAGCCATTCTCGAAAGCATACTACAACATTAGTTCATAACTATTTCCCCAAGACAATGATTGACATAAAAGCATTATCTCAAGGATATTTTTTTTTATTTGTAAGTTAAGTAATGTTTGGTTCTAAAAGTACTACACTGCGTTATTCTGAACTTATTCATCTTAGCTGAACTTTACATTATTTTTAAATGTTTTCATACAAAGCAATTTATCAGTCATGCGTAATCTGAAACGTTTGTTTACAAAAACTTATACAACTATCTATCTTGACTACATTAATGTTATCTGAGATTTCGATGTTTGCTTTGATTCATAACTAGTTCAATGATGAGCCATTCTCGAAAACATATTACAACATTAGTTCATACCTATTTTTCCATGTCAATGGTTGAAATATAAGCATAGTTCTAGAATAGTTTTTTTTATTTAAAGGTTAAGTAAGCATTTGGTTCGGAAAGTCGTACTACATTACGTTATTCTAAACTTATCCATCTTAGCTCAACTTTACATTATCCTTAAATACTTTCATACAAAGCAATTTATCAGTCATGCACAATCATCTACAATATAACAATGCTATTGCTACAGCAATTCAAACACTATCACGCTTAAGCAAGTTTCATTTGGTTAACCCTTCAAGGAAGGATCCAGTAACTGAAAAGTAAAATTATGAAATTTATTCTCTCCTTAATTTTCCACTTAATATTTTATTTCGTACAAAATATGACCGTTTACGAAATTAAATTTTATGTAGCTCAAATTCAAGTATTAAAGTCTAAATACGTTACTTTCATTATATACTAAATTAAATTTTACTTAATTCAAATATTTAAAAAAAAATTAGTATATTACTTTTTGTTTTAAAATATTCAAAATCTAAATAATTTAAAACTTTTATTTCATTTCAGAGTAAAATTCAATCCTTAGCATTTTCAAATTATTATATAACTATGACACAGTAATTAATTAACTTTTTCTAACATGAATTGCAAGTTATTAATTAAAATGTTTCAATTCTTTTCGTGAGGAAAGAACCTCATAGAAAAAGATGTGTTAAAATATTGACATGATTTGAAAGGTTTTTACTTTTCATGAAGATATTGCGTCTTGATAAGTAGTGTAATATAGTTTAAAATTAATATTTTGAAATTTGAAAATGAATTTTATATCCTTTCCATACATTTTATTAAGAAAAGATAATTTTTAGATAATAACAATTATTTTTCTTGTTGCTATCAATTACTTTTAAAAGGCAAAAAAGCATAAAAAAATTAAAAGAAAATATATTATTTTTTTCATTTTTGTAAGCATATTTTGAAAATAAGCAAAACTGAACAAAGCTACTTGCTACTTTACAAAAAAAACTACTAGTAAATGAGGTATTCAACTTTTTAATTAAAATAGACGCTATTGACAGCTGTTCAATACAGGAAAGAAACTGGGAATTTTCTAAAGATAGAAACTGGGAATTTTTCAGAATATTTTTGCGAATATATTTTTTTATTAAATTTTGCGGTTTATCTTTATCCATTCATTTCTAGAAATATAAAACATTAAATAATATCTTTTTTTTTGCATTGTATTTCATTTTTATTTTTTTTAATGTTCTACTTTTAATGTACTATTTTTAATATACTTTATTTTTAATATGCTGTTATTAATTTTTTTTTCCTTGTTAGAAAATATTTAGCTCTAGTAAAAATCAGAATTTCTTTCTTTATTAGAAAATTATTATTATATTGTCCATCATTTCTCGTTCACTTGGAAAGAGTGATGGATATCTTTCTCATTATTGGTAGATTTCTCGCTTATGTGGAAAGGAAAATTGTGGTTGTAAAAATTATTTTTATTGTACGTTTAAGATCACATATTATTTTTCATTTAAAATAATTTAGTCTCATTTATAATTTAGTTTAAATTTGCAGAAGCATTTGCAATTGCAGAACAATTTGCAGAAGCGAAATTTAATAATTATAATACTTTAAACGCAGTACATTATCCTTCAATTCAGATATGCTAATTTCTATCAAATACCAGACCGATTGTTTAAAACCAAGTAATTTAATTACCAACTACGTGATACGTGTGCCGCCACTATAGACAAACTGCCTCTTCCTCTACTATTAGCAAATTATTTTCATCTTATTTATTTTTAATGGTAAAGAAATAATAATAAATATTCACTATTTGTTATATTCAAATAACTTCGTGAGTAAACATTATTAAATAAACAAAAAGCTTATTGAGGTTTTAGGTTTGGGTTTAATTCATATTAAATTAAAATGTGTGCTATGCCAAGGTACTTTGAAATTGGAATAAGGAATTTGAAATAGATCGTAATATCACTATTTAAACCATGTCAAATCCGTGAAGTTTGTTAAAAACTACCCTACATCTAAAATAAGGTCTTTCGCTTCACAACCAGTGTCACATTTAATTTTTTTTCAAATTTTGAACAGTCTTGTGTTTTTTCTGTAACTTTCTTAAACGGAGAGAGAGATTTCGAAAAAAACAAAAACAATTTCTTTCTCATCGTTTTTGTCTTTTTTCAATGTTACAGAAATTTAAAAAAAAATTTTTATTGACTCTTAGATTAAAATTACAATATAGGTATAAATTATTTTAATCGAAACTTATAAAAAAAATTTGATTCACAACCGTAATATATATATCTACTAATTTCCCATTTTATAACGTATGCAATATTATAGCGTCTTTTAAGATATAAGGAATGGCATGAAATTTCAAATACCTTACTCAATATAGGTAGATTCTTAAAATTCAAATCTACTCTTTACTTTTTCTCAAATTACTACATTTTTTTAAAGTTTTTTGAGGTCCTATTTGTCCATTTTTATCCTCTTTAAACGTTTCCAATGAAAACAACTTTTGTGTTCCCCTTCTTATTTTTATTTCTGAGTAAAGATTAAAATTTTTAAAAACATATTTGTTAACGTTTTAATTTTGCTTTCTTGGATATTTCTTAGGTTATTTATAGATTGTATATTTCTTCAATCGTACAATTTAGAAATAGTAGCTTGTTTATAAATATTTCTGTAAGAAAAAGTATTCTTATAGTATTTTTGAGTAAAGTTACAATTTCATACAATATAAAAGTTTCAGCTGAAAAGTGAGTTTTGATTTAAAAGTATTTAAGATTAAATATCAATGGCAAGCAAATTAAAAGACCAATTAATA